AGGGGAAAGGAGGCATCACCCATCTAACTAAGACATACTTTTTCTGGTTCCCCTATTTGCTTTATTAGTGGCTGCTGGCTAAATGATCTTTTAGGTCATCTGCTTACAGTAATAGGAGGAAATTAAATATTAATAATAGACTATTTCCCTCTAGACTGCTCTTTGTTAACAAAGGATACAAGTGAAACAAAGCAGGCAAAATTATCAGCACACCACGCTCTTGGTTTTCAGGTACCTGGAGCACTTGCAGTCTCCCTTAACCTCCCCCGGAGTTGCAGATGCCCAGTGTCCTGCACACCTGCCTGTGTGGCCACCCATAGAAGTGCAGAACTGGGTGATGTCTGGAAATACTTGTTCTATCAAGGGGGTGCTCATGGCAGTTTGACCCTTCAGAGGATCATTTTAGACTTTATCCAAAACATCATCTGAACCACCTATGCTCTGGCTGCAAAAAATGCAGGGCCAAGGATCTTCTGAAGCACACAGCTTGTCTCCATTTGGGTAGCGAAGTCTTCCTCCAGTGTAAACCCTAGTGGGGTAACAAGCTTTATGGGTTGGCTTTGAAAATTCTCCAGAAATACTACGTAAAATGAGGGCTTCAGCTTTGCTAAACTTGGTCTAATCTCCTCTTACAGGAAAGCAGCGACCTTCTAAGGCTTAAAACCTTCACTTCATGTACTTGTAAAAGGCAAAAGAAATGGCTCGTCAGAGATCTGTACTGCCTCTGATCTTTGTCTGTCAGTTCAGAAGAGGGACACATTTCTGCTTTACATTTCCATCTCTGCTGCAGTCCAGGCCCAAAAAGGAGCCTATACTCACAGCAAGAACAAGCATGGTGAATCTGGGTGTAAAGTCTTTACTGACTAGGGGGATTACTAGAGGCACCCATACCGCTGCAGCAGTGACAACAACAAAAAGCACAATAAAATTATACCCTTCAAGCCTGTCCCATGTCTCTCTTCTCCTCCTGTTTATACCCCATATAAAAATCACAAAACAAAAATGCCCAAAAGGTGAAAAATTGTCACTGGACAACAAGCAAAGGTCATAATATAGATGGGCTGGCTAATAGGAAGGGCTAATCCAAAATCAGTATTTCAGCTTTGCCTCCTTGCCTCCTGCCCTCCAAGTGCTAGAAGTAGATTAATTTTTATTGCAGTAGCGGAAGAGAAGACTAGAACAAAACGCATTTTACCATTTTTTTTTTCCCCTAAGTGGATGTTATAAATGTTTAAAAGCAAAAAAAAAAAACCTCACAGTAATTATTCCCATTCTAATGGTCACAAAAAGCCAGGGAGGGCAAAACTAAGTAAGGCTGAATGACCAGCAGTTAAATAAGCCAGATCAAACAAACAAACAAAAGGGAAAAGGCTCCCCTGTGCTCACTAGAGTAGTCTCACTGGGCAGCAGGCATCATGATATATTGCCAAAAGGCACAGAAACATGTTGGATTTTTGAGCAAACCATTTGTATCCAGGATTGATGATGCTGATTTACCTACAGTGGCATTTCCAAAAATATAAAATAGAGCATTTGGATAAGCTTTCATAAGACAGACATGTAGAAAAGCATAATTAAAACCATGTACCATGGCCAGAATCAAGTTATTACTGCCAATATCATCCACAATGTCTCTGAGGAGCCAGTTTTCCTTTCCTGTGTGAGGGAGGAACTCAAAAGCAAACTTTGCCTCTCCACAGCCCTACTAAAGCCAGCTGTGTTCATACATAAGGAGCATTTCCTTCAAGAACAAATAAGTGAAATGAGGAAACAGGATATCAAGAAGAGGTGACCCACTGAGGAATACAGGCAAGGGAAGAATTTGCCCTGAAAATATTTATCATATTGCTAATGCATCCATTGTGGTATATTGTAAAATAATGGAGTAGACTTCTCTCCAGATGTGACTTGACCTCTCATTTCTATATGAAGTTTCCAGACAGGCAGTTGAGAATTGGGTACATCTGTTCATTTTCCTGCATTTTTATTCAGTTGTTCCCAAACCCTATTTGCCTTCTCTAACTACAGGTTTGCTCTCCACCAGGCTTTGTGATCCCTGCTGCCTCTCCTCCAAGCACCGTTCTTCTGCAGGTTGCAAGTAGTATGTGTGTAAGCTCTGCCAGTGAAACAAAAGCTCTCTACTCCTGTGCAGGGAGTGCTGTTGAACCAGGTCAACCAACATCCTATCATCTACAGCAGAAAGTAATATAACTCTTTCCATCTCTGTCCATGTAACTTAAAATGATTCCCCAGCTGTCCTTCCCTATCCTGATGAAGGTACTGTATAACTTGAACAGAGATGAGCAAATTCTACCTGCCTCTGAGCCAAAGCAAAGCTGTCTCACTGCATTAGCTCATCCATGGCTCATACGCTGACCCCTCTAAGCAAGGGTTATTACTGAGGACTCACCATGAAGCTCCCATTACCACCCAAGTGGTTTGACTCATACCCACCCACATTATGAAAAGCAGTCAACCTCCATTGGGTTGCTAACACAGCTCATCACATCCTTCCTCCCCAACTTGTATTCATCCCAAAAGCAGGCAAAAGCCACACTAACACATTTTCTGCCTCCTTAGTTTGTTGCCATCAACCTTCCCTCTTCCATTTTTTAAGGTACTTACCCTGACTCGCTAATGCTTATTTGCTCTGTGTCACACCTCATCATCCCACTAGTGTTTCTGTCTCAGTCTTGAAGATATTTAAGACATTTTTAGTACTCTGTCACCCTCTGTGGATAAGGAGTTGATGCTCTGATGATGTCTTGAGGCCACATGCCCTTACTTTGTCCCTCCCTCTTCTCTTTGCTATGACTTGCACCATACTGCTGTCACTCTTGCAAAGTGACTTGCCTTTTCACTATCACAGTCAACTACACCAATACAAGCTTTTCTAGCAGTACTCAAAATGACCTTTTTTTTTTTCCCCCCAAGTCATTGATTATAATCTGATTCATTAAGAGCTCTCCAGTGTTACTGCTTACTGATCCCAAAGTCTCAGTGTTTAGCTGGTGCTCCGAGGACTCTAACAAAGTCCTTCCTTCATTTCCTAAGTCCTTGTGCTGTGGTAAAAGCACATCCGCTTACAAGCAACAGCCTGCTACCCGTGCCCACTTCCTCCTCTGGCTGCTCAGGCCAGAGACGCTGATGATCTGGGGTGGGGAGAGCATGCAGCTGCTGGTGAAAATGACATTTCTAGTCATTGGTTTCTCTCCTTCTACATCAAACCATTGCACTGGAGAACCAGTAGCCATTCATAAATCACTTTAGAAAACATTTTACGGGACTTTCTAGCTGTTTATGAGTTAGTGTGCTTGTCTAGAGGAAGCAGAAAAGCAAGGAGAGTAGCAGCAAGTACCCTGCTGCAATAGAGACACCTCCACCATGCTTGGGAAGTGGCCCTTTTCTCCTATGAAAACTTAAGATATTTTACAGTTTCTGCACAATAAGAGATCATAAAAAGCTCCAGCTATAGAGAAATCTGCAGTTATTTCTCAAATGCATGATAACCGTGATCCTCACACCTTGCTGAACAAGGATAAACCAAAAAGTACTCCCAAGGCATATTCCTTAGGGACTGAGGCATTTGACTCCAAACACAAACAGATGTTAGTCAAGCAAAGATGGATCCCAGGGAAGTGCCCAGAACAGACATCCCGCAACTTTAGGATGGTTTCTCCCAAGTGGCCTGTGTCCATCTCTTGCCTGCTATGATCATACAGCTATGCTGTACTGTGGCTACACGGAAGAAAAGATTTCCCTTTAGGAGTGGGGTAGAAAAGACAACAAAAACTGTCCAAGAATCCTCTTTCCAGTATTCAGCCCATGAATACAGCTTCTTACCTTCCTATATCCTGCAAGAGCTGACCCCATACAGCTGTACCAGAGAAAAAGAATCATGTAACTACATCAAATTTGCCAGAATCCTTGATGTCTACCCATGTTATAACCCTAAAGGAATCATAATAGTCAAGCAGAGTTTGGATCAGCATTTAGAAAGACACAGGATGATATAAAACAAAATATTAATGTTTTTTATGTGTTTGACAAAGTTAGGTACCTACATTTTAACAGGTCCAGCTAAAGTGGCCTGATTTCTGGGAGGGAAGCAGTTTTTGGAATCAGGGTATTTTAAGAAATCCCTGGCTTGGTGGCCATTAGCACATGTCATTTTTTGCCGAAATTCCGGGCTGCAGAACATTTAAGAAACTTTTCAAAAGTCAGCGTGCTTCCCCACACATGTGCCAGGAATTGTAATAGTGCTGGTGCCAGCCCAAGTCAGTATGATGTTATTTTCCATCATCTCATTGAACCTGGGCACTGATCTGTGGATTGGACGTATGTGGAAACTGTAATTATTCAAATCAATTTCAATCACGTGCCTCTCTTCTAAAGATTGTAAAGAGCCACATACCTCTTAGCTGTCTTTTATCCTGGGAAATGTTTCCTATGGAAAATCCCAGTCTGTGCCCAAGTATATGGATCTCACACTGCAACCAAAGTTGTTATCACCACAGAATATGATATTTAGCAGCATACCTCCCTTAACTCCTTGACCTCAACAACAGATTCATACCAGGATCTGACAATCCTGTTCTGGGGAAACCTCAATAACCAAAATGGTATGTCAGTTTGTAGAGGACCTTCCCAGTACAAGAAGTGGGATGTGGGTAACAGGCCAACGTTACAGAACAGGAAAAGAGAGCTGAAACACTTATGCTCTCCTAGTAAGAAAAAAAAAAAAAAAAAAAAGGGGAGGGTGGGGGAGGGAAGGAGATGAGAAGTGAGAGGAGAACACAATAGTCTAAAACCAAAACAAAATAGCTCCAAAGAAGTAAAACCAGGAGAGAAATGGGAGAGACTCTGAGATCTGAATACTAAACGAGGAAAGAAATTTCTAAGAGGGAAAATAGTACAAGCCTCACCACTCCCAAAGGGATGCATTAAAAGAGCAGAATGAGACCAAATTACAGTTCCCTCTGTTCAACAGCATTACTCACTCAAACACATGAGGGACGCTGCCCAGGGACATATGCAGACGCGACCCCCAGCTGATGCTGGCTCGGGTTCAGCTGAGCTTCGAATGGCTCCACCAGCGAACGATCCCTCTCCTGCCCTCCTCGAAGAGCTGCGGAACAAGGAGCCACAACTGTCACTGTGAGCGTCACCTGGGATAAACACAGGGGAAGGGAGACAGAGAAGGCTGAATCTCAGCTAGCCGGCAGATAAAACAGCCCCAATCTGCAAGTACTAGAGGCCTCCTGAGAATGCCTGAGTGCCTTCCACCCTGGGTTTGAGTGCAATCACAAATGCTAATCAACATACAGACAGGAGCCCAGCATGTCATTCGTCACGTCTCCAAAGCTTCAGGAAAACCCCCCTTTCCTCTCCCCGTATCAGAGAGGGACAGGAAGATTCCCTCATCCTCTGTATGCCCTTTCCTCCCCCTGTTCCTGGCTTGAACCATCCCTGGAAGAAATTTCACTCCCTGCTAACTTCTCCATTGTCCTAGATGCATTGTTTGCAAATGTTCCCTAAAAATGCTATGTAAAGTATTCTTTATTCTTGTTTCAGGTCTTTCCACATCCCTATGTAACACCTAGACTTTATCTTGATACCAATCAGATAGTGATAAACCTACTGCATGCAATCCCTGACTTATCACCTAAGATAAATATAATTTGTCTTGTAGCCATCATTTCTTTTCAAATACTGCCTTCCACTGTTGCATTTGTAGTTGTAACAAATTACTTATTTTATTTGGGCTTGAAATGTGTAATTTTTCAAAACATAAAAATAAAAAAAAAAACATCAGCAAGAGCCCCAAAACATAGATAAAATTTCAAGTGTGGCCTTCCTAGCGCTAGATTAACTGCTGCTTTGTGGGCAAGGAGGCTCCAGTACTCTTGCTCTTGCTTATCTTCTACAACAGCATTTGGATATACTTTACATGAAATACATTGTATTTTATGCTACCTGGTAATTTTTGTTTTGAATAATCAACCAACAGGCCCAATGGTAAAAAGCATCCTTTCCCCAGAACAAGCCATAAACCGAACTGATAAGGTTTGAGATAGTTGCTTAAGTATCAGTGAATAGTGGGGGTCTCAAGTGCTCTAAGCTATCACCTGAGCCTCTGCTGTCGCCTTAGAAAGACACTGGCCTCCCTCAGGTCCTATCCTATTCCCCGCCAGCCCCACCGGGATGTCTCACATAGCACTAGATGTCTGTTTATAGCACCCATATCAAGCCCCGGGCGTCCCAAACAGGAAGGGACAAAGCCTGCACTCAAACACCTGCCACTGCAGCACTGTTAATGCTTTTGCCCAACACCAGTGATCACCCTGAACATGTTAAGTTTTCCAGAAGCCATCCTGTGGCATTTGGCTTTTCTCTGAACTCTCCTAAGCACTTAGTGGCTCTTCAGATCTTTTCATAACCTCATTGTTGTGTGTTTATCCAAACAACTTGATCCTAACTGTGCAATTGCATCACCCTACGGTTGTGCAGCCTACCTATTCCATCCCTCCCATGCTACTGTGGATCTCCATCCGTACCAGTGATCTTATTCACCCCTCAACCTCTGTTCTGTAAGGAGCAAATCATACAAAAACTGGTGGATCTTCAGCCAGGTTTTGTACGATTTGCTTCTTACAGAACACAGGTTGATGGGTAAAAGAGATCACACCTTTATTCACTCACATTTACCAAATACCTGCCTTTGCTGAAGCACTTCTAAATAACTCTTTGCTGATCCTCTGTGGGTTGCTCACTGTGATCAGGATAAGAAATGAGTTACAGCAAAGGAGGTTTGTGCTGGACATCAGGGTGTTTCCTGCGCATGGGGAAAGTAAGCTTCTACTGCAGGTCTTTAAGAGCAGGATGGAGAAATAGCTGCCAGAAACGGCAAAAGCATAGCTGATCCTGCCTTTGGGCAGAGGCATAGATTAGATGACCTCGCAATACCTCCTGAGGGTATTTTCCATAATTGAGAGTTGTATGTGCCATCTGTCTATTCTGATCTACAGAGATTTACTTCAGAAAAAAAAAAAAAAAAAAAAAAAAAAAAAAAAAAGGGCAATACAACCAATAATTATTCCTGACACAGACGCAACCTTTGCGAGGGGAGAGGCATCTTCTGATTCTACAGAGGACACTGAAGCCTTCAGAGGTTAAACCACCTTCCGTGTATCTGCTCAGATCCTCTTGCCCTCCCAAGACAGAATGCTGCCGGCTCTTTACCTCTAACAGACCAACCCTCAATATTCAGCTACATGAACATCTCATTAAGTGAGCAACTTTCTCTGCCTTCTTAAAAATGAGCAGAGAGGCAAGGAACTGGTGCTGTTGTGTTCAAGTAGCTTCACCAAGGCTACATCAGGTGCACCTGATGCAAAACCTGGAGGTGACCCATGAGGGAACCAAGCTTTCTGGTCCTAAATACCAGACCCTGATGAAAGAGAGCAACTCTCCATCGACTTCTAAGAATCCTCCCTGATTCCTTGACACACAGCTCAAGATCTCTTGGTTTTTAGTTTAGAGTCCAACAAAAAAGAGTTTTAATAGCCCATCTCCATTTTCAGATGGAAAGCACACAATAAAGCAGGACCTAGGTAGTTACTCACCACCCAGATCAGATGGAGAGAATGAACACGAGCAGCTGAAATCTGTTCAAGTTGAAGACAAGGACAAACTTTGCAGGACACCAAGAGAGGTGCTGATACCAGCCTTTGGATGGAAAACACCTCACAGCTGCACAGAACTCTTAAGAGAGAGCTTGGCCGCACTATGCCTTGCCCCATCTCACGTGTGAAAACGTGGGTGGAAATGTCAAACCAAAGCGAAGAGCTGAAGCATAGTGAAAATAAGTGTTATGGTGGAAAATCTGTGAAGCCTTAAACATCCTGTATAGACAAGAAATTATACAGCCATCAGTCACCTAGGGAGAAAGGAAGTGGTAAAGGGGGAGGTTTTCCTTCCACACCAGACGGAAAAGCTGCCAGGCTCAAGACTGAAGGGGATGTACTTCGCCAGCCATCCTGGACCCTTCAGAGAAACACAACTGGAAGGAAGAGTGAAGATTCAGAACAGTCCCTCCAAACCTCCTGCTGGATTGAGCTTTTCCCAGTAGTTCTTAACAGGGCTTAACCACATGGCTCTACATAAAATCCATTATTGAAGATTAAACAAAAAAGATGAATAACTTTCAAAAGTTGATTACGTCCAAACACAATAGTGCCAGAAGCCTTGTGGAAACATCCTATTAAAATATCAGCAAAAATATAAATGCAAACATGGGAGACCTGGCAGGAGGCTTTTCAGCTCAGACCTTTAGTGCCTTTTGCACCCACTGACAGAAGGACAGAGGCTAAAAACATCATTACTAGGCTGACATCCCCTGACCTGGCACAGGGTGATGCTGATTCTATTTTTTATGTATAAAAATACATATGGAAAGAGAGGTAGATTATGTACATGCCTAAACTACAAACTTATCACCTGAACAGCATTAAAAAGGAAACCTCCTTGCTGTTTGGTGTTTTTTTTTTTTTTTTAATTCCCTCACACACCCTGGAATAGGTCATTTTATTTTATATACACACATACATGTTTGCAGTTTGTACCCACGTGTTTTCTCTACAAATTCAGAGGCTCATAGCTTTCCTGGTTAATTCAGAATTTAATCCATTTGGCACATTAGACAGGATTTAATTTTCATAGTATTTTTGTGATATGTGATTACATTTATATTGACTTTTTTATTGAGATTCAAAATAAGGTATTTCTTCCACAGATCTAATTCAATTGAAATATTTCTCATATCCCCTTGGTTACTTTATCTAATCTTTTTGTACTTTACTTGGGCACTGTGCTCTGGGGGGTGTCCCTCTAACAGCAGGAGCTGGCTGTGCTTTCCTTCTCTCTGTTAGTTTCTCTTGTGCAGAAGAATGAATTTATCAATTACTACAGTTCTTGAGTTACACAAGTCTGAGACTTACGAGCCTGATAAGAAACCTGAAAACAAATACATCCAAAGATCGAGTTATCTAATAGTTGACCATCTGTTTAGGAAAATAATTTTAAGTAGTTATGGCAATTCTATTAACTGCTATTTACTAAGTGAGTCATGTTGTTCTCTTTAAGTTAACCCTTCCTGTCTCCTCTGTGGGCCCTCTGCCCAAGGCAGTTTTGAAGAGGGTGCTCGACCACCTTTACTACTTTGAAGCTACAGCAAAGCCCGCAATACCTCTGCCCTCAAAACTTACCCCAAGCTCATAGTGCTGCAGGACATAAAAGAGCATTAAAGCGACTGTGCTGCTTCTAGGTGACTCTTAGAGAACGCAAATGACCATGCAGAAAAATCTCCTCGCAGAGGCATCCCGTGTGAGGGCACCGCAGGCCCGCACACCGCCCGCGGAACCACCCGCTGCCTCACGCGCTCTGCCAGGAGGGGCTGCTGGCACCCCGGGGGCCGGGGCACCCCGGCAGGCCCTGAGCCCTGCCTGCCAGGGCGGAAAGCCTTCTCACACATCCTCCAACAGCTTTGGAGACAACCGGCACCTTGCAGCCCGTTCGCCTTTCCTTCTCCTGCCCTCTCCCCCCAGCACAGAGACACCAGGCCCCTCTGTGACTGCCAGCTCCATGAACGTACTCGCTGGGTGCCAGGGCTGAGGGAGCTGCCGGGCACAGCAGAAGGGATGCTGCTGAAAAACTGCTTCTGTCGCTTGGCACGGATGAGGCAGGGTGGGGGCTAAGGAACGGGATAAGTTCACGCACAGGTTTAGTGCCATCTATTCAGTCCCTGCCCTTCTTCCCTTGGCATGATTGCAAAGCTCATGGGAATCTCCTTTGTTAAACACTACAGAGAAGTTTACGGGATGCAAGGTGCTCCAGTGGAATCACTATTTTACCATAAAGCACAAGCACAAATATCAGCTGAAGGGCCAGGAGCAGGGCTGGGTGCAGGGGGGCAAAGTCCAGCACTTGGTGTTTGAAGGAAGATCCGTGGAGCAAACATCTGGGAGCGTCGGGGTGTGTCGGGGGACTGACAGTTGGGTCCAGCACGGTGTGTGCGATGAGCACCAGCTCCGCGGTGGAAAAACCATCTGAGCCGGGGCACGGGAAAGCGGCGGCAAAGAAAAACCGACCCCGTCTTGGGGCAGGGGGTTAGGCGGTAGCGAGAGAGCAGCGGGCGGCCGCTTTTCAACCTCGCGGGAGAGGGACGGGGGCTGCCGCGAACATCGCCAAGAAAGTTGAGCTGCCCAGCGCGGTTCCCAGGACCGGCGGCCGCCGGGCTGGGGATGCACCAGCGGGGCGCCGGGGCCGCCCGCACCGCCCAGGCGGGAGGAGGCGGCGGGGCGAGACCCGTAGCCCGCCCCGGCCGGCAGGTCCCGCTCCGCCCCGAGAGCCGCGCACCGGGGGCCACCCGCCGCCCCGACTCACCGTGGGATGAGTGTGAGTGTGTGTGTGTGTGTGAACCCCCCACCCCACCCCGCGGCGCCGGCATCACCCACCTGCCCTCGGGGCTCCTCCGCTCCGCTCCGCGCCGCGCCGCGCCCGGGAGGCGTGTGCCGGTGTGGGTGCGGGTGCCGGTGTGGGTGCCGGTGCCGGCCCGCGGGCGCTGCCCGCTCCCGCCCCGCGGCAGGACGCGGCGGCTCCCCCTGGAGGGCGGCGCGGGCGGCGCGGGGCGGGAGCGGCGGGGGCGGCCCCCGCTCCCCGCTCCCCGCTCCCGGCCCCGGCCCCCAGCCCCTGCCCCCCGCGGGAAGGAGGCGGCGAGCCCCGGCGGGGCGGCCCCGCGGCCGCCCGAGCAGCGCCCCAAGGGCGAGCGAGCGAGCGGCGGAGGAGCCGGTGCCTGGAGTCGGGCGCCCGGCGGCTTTACCTGGCGGACACCGGGCGGGGAGAGGGGGTGGTTCGCACCAACAAGGGCAGCCCGGACAGCATCTGGCCGAGCGGCTGAAGGAGGGATTGCCGCTTACTTCAAAAAGTCCAGCTCTTGCCTTGAGGGACCTGCCAAGGGACAGAAACGGGCTTTTACTGTGCGTGATCTGCACACAATGACTGTAGAAAAGGAGAGAAGAGGAGGCTTCTTCCTACCTCGTTTTAAGCATCTACTTTTTCCCAGGCTGGAAAACCCAGCCAGCAGGTTTAAGACTGCATAGCGCAGTGCTGTCATTCCTACCAAAGGAAAGGAAACCCTGTGCCTTGCTACTCTGGAAGTATTTAACTGTTCTCGGTAGAGATACCAAGTATTTCACCGTTTCCCCCTGAGCAGGTCGTTGTGGATCCCGGGGGCCTGCACTCCTGTGCTCGCTGCCCGCAGTCGGGCGGCAGCGGTGCGGCCCTCGAGGCTGCGCCTGTGCCCCGCCACGAGTGGACTCGGGGCACAGCTGTGACTCATCCCGCAGCAATTCTGAAGCAGGGAAGAGAACCTCTCAAGAATTTGAACCCACTGCTCTTTGTGGATATTATCTAAGGTTTTTTTTTTTTTTTATTATTTCTATTTTTCAACTTTACATCTTTGCAAGTAATTTATCTACACGATCATATTGGTTGGACATTACAAACAGGAAAAACCACCAGCATGACTCCACACTTCCCACCAGCTCCATGGCAGATCCCAGCTTATGAAAAACCAATTCGTCTCACCAACAGCCATCCCAGGCCCCTCTGGGCAGGGGACCGCCACAGCCTCAATGCTTGTGCTATGCAACAAGAGTGTTTATTTCAGGATTCCTAACCCCAGAGATGCTTTGCTCACTGCCAGAAGCCTATGCACATTACTGACCCACAGGCAAGCAGCTTACCCAGCCTTCCCTGGCAGCAGGAGCATGAACAATGCTTTAATTATTTTTGGTGTTTCAAGACAGTAGGAAAGAAGTAGCAGAACTGGTGCCAGCCACTTCAGGACCAACCTCAAAACCTATGAGCATCTAAGCATTAAAAATTCAGCGCTGGCAGCAGCCCCTGGCACCGTGGTGTCCTCCCCTCCACTCGTACCCCAGACAGGAAGGCAGGCTGGTACATGGGCTGCCTCGACCACACAGCTACGAATTATGGAGCGGAGGCCAGTGCGCTGCTCCAAACACAATGGGAATCCCGTGGGGAGGGGAAAAAAAAAAAGGCAATTTTTCCCAGGAAGTTATAGAAAAGGCTGGAATAATCTACCACACAGTAACACGTAATGGTTTTAAGGACAACATATATTGACTAGTCAAGTTAAGAGAAAAAGCAAAAATGGGAGACCATGAGAAATTTAGAAGCCTCATCAAAACATACTGCAATATTGATAAATTTAGAAATGACACCTGCCTACATGAAGTTTGTCAGAGCTTTTTGAAACATGCTGACACTAGAATTGGGCACTGTTCATGTAACAGTCTCATTTTTGCCCTGTATGAGAGGTATTATTTTCCCACTCCTAGTTGATACTCCATGAAATTTTATGCTGTACAATTGTATTTGAACTAGAGGGGCAAGTGTGATGCTGTAGCAATTAGCTGTCTGCCAGGATCTGCTGCGGCTGCTCAGCGTTGCTCCTTTCCAGGTTAGTGTTTCCTTTATTGTAGTGGTTGCCTCTCATCTTTGGCCCACTTCCTCAAAGACATCCAAATGGCTCTCTCCCACTGAGATCAGTGAAAGCTGGGAATCAAAATACTTTCAAGGAGTAGGGATGCAGTTCCTAAATATGATTTTGTTCCTGAATACATTAAAAACAAAGTTGTTGCAGTCAGCTCCCTTTAATCAATCCGTCAGGCTGGTTTCTTCCAACCGTTCCATCCTTAACATATCATCTTACAAGTTTCCTGAGTCAGAGATGTTGATCAACAGCTCTCTGAAGGACCCCAGAAATGCTTCATTGGATGTTTCTTTTCCCAGCTTCTCTTATTTGATTTTTGCAGCTAATCGGTTTTAAGATTATTCAATGTAGACTCTATTGATTTTCTTCTAAATCAGCAAGTCATAGAAGATCCAAAGCAAATGTCCAAGTGCTTTCACAGGGCTGCCTGATAATGGCACCCTGAGAAGCATCTAACATTTCTTAGAAATTACTTTTTTGTTTTCCATAAAAGCATTCTGATACCTCTACCAAAATCACCAAACCACTGGTTCCTTCCCTCACCGGCCATTCCAGTTTGGATAGCGTATCAGGTCCCCATTGTCACCTACTGATTTTCTCTGGGCAGTTGGGAACTCTGCAGTGTTCCAAGATGTTAAAAATTGGTATTAACACCTCCCAGAGGAAGTGAGCCAGTTCCTCTATTACTTTTGCATGCCCATTTCTCACTTCTGCACAAGTAAATGTATTTATAATGAGGAGCTGCTGTTTTATGTCCTATTTAGTAGTTAGATAGGAAAGCTTTCATTACTATAGTAACATCTAAATAGATCTGTTGCCTTTCTTTTGAATTAAGAAATTAATTTGGTTTCTATTGTCCCTGTCAAGTATTGGAACTGCACTGTTCTTTCAGATCATATTTCTTCTTGTACATATTCAATGTGTTTTATCCTTACCTGTAGCTATTTCTATTTATGCCAACCCTTACCAGTGGCCAACAATGACAGTAAGATGACAGTAAGGAATACAGTCAGCTTTTTATTTTTTCTTTGTTTTTATAATATATGGAGGGGTGGCAGTACAAGAGAGCACTGAATTCCTTTCACTTCTTAGTCACTCATGAATGAAAAACCAGCATTACTACAACTACTGTGGCCAGATACACTTTGAGAAGGGACTACATGAAGAGGTAGGCTGAAACTACCTGGAAGCAAGACAGCTTCCAGCAGCCATGGGGAAGCTACTGTCACACGCTTAGAGGTGGCTGCTGGCTCAGGCTGTGAGCTGACAGAAGTCCAGGACTGCAAGGAGGGAAATTAAGTTTTCTGATTCTCCTGTGTACAGCCAAGAAGGGCTTTTCATTCCTGAAAAGCAGAGTTGCTGCCATGTACTGTACACTATCTAATTGAACAAGCCAAACTACTGAATTTTGCGCAGCTCAAGAATAGTGATATGAGACTATCTGCACTTCTCAGACCTAGCAAACTCAAGTAGTAACTCTAGAAAGACTGTGTAGAATAAACCTTGAAATGTTTCCTTCAAAAAGATGAGAGCAAAGTAAATAAAAACTTCACACTTGAGACCTATCATGAAACTCGCCCTTCTCTCTGCTGATACTGCATGAGGGACAGTCTGCTTGGGCAAGTCAGTGGTGCCACTGTAAACACAAAACAGACTCATATGACTAACCCAAATCAACCTGCCATCCTGGTAAGCTGCAAGATAGCAGCAAAACCATACCTATGTATCGAAGCTTCCGCGTGAAGGGCTGAAAGTGATCATCAGTGTTTCTACAACAGAATTTGGAAGAATTAATGCTTTTTTAAATAGAAAAAATACTTCTGTCTTTGAGAAAGAGATTACTCTTTATCAGTTTTGGAGCTCTTCTGTCATGAAACACTTCTTTCTAACCAAACTGAATCATGGGATATATGCAAAATTACATTTAAGGGATGCATAATTTGCAAAGAAGCATCAAACTGAGCATTGCATTAGATCACATATGCAATGTTGTTAAACAGGACACTTAAAATTACGTGTTCCAACTTGTACGTAATCCCACAGATACTGGCTGAATCTCCTCAGAAGCAGTGAAAGGCACTTGTGTTAGGCTAAGAGAAGGGATGGAGGCAGGGTTGCTTGAGGTCCTTTGGAAACACTAGCAAGTCCTTCAACATTGAAGTTAGATATATGTAAATAAAAATCTGTATGTGTGTTTATATATTTGCAGTTATTTCTCTCACATTGTTCAACATTAAATATTTGTTAGCAATTTTAAATTCAACATCGGAAAAAAAACCAAACCAGAAGCAGCTAGTTTTTCTGAAGAGAGTGTCCTTTAACAAAGTTACACATGCAAAATTTTGCTGGAAATGCCCACGGCTAACAGCTTAATGAAGGACACTGCTCTGTGCAAAAGACCAAATTCTTCTCGCAGACTGTTCAATTCCAGCACAGGAGGAGGTCAACTTTTACCTAGGCTTAAGGAAAACAAGCTGAAGTCAAGGTAAGGTTTGTGTTCACGGGGAAATGCAAACCATATCCCCTACACTCTTTAAATCCTGCCATTTGCACTTAGGTCAAGAACAAAAAGAAGGATTTTCAGTAATTTCATGTCAAGAGTTGGACTAGACGCTGTAAAAGGCACTGCCCAAACAGACTGCGGCTTCATTTCTCTAAATGCTATTCAGCATGACAGACTATGAGATGGAGTTCAATCCAAATATAAGCACTCTTGGTAGACTATTAATAGAAGGAAAAACTGGTAGCATGAATCATCATGTGGGAGCTGCAGAGCAACAGCTATTTATTTTCTATAATAGTAATATATAGAAGTTACCTTTATACAATAAATGAACTGTTGGATTTCCAAGGCCCAGCAGAAGTAGTCAGATGATTCTTCTTCTCTTACACTATTCTCATGTTATTCTAAGGAGCAATGAGAGGGCAACGCTTATTTAACTTGACAAAATACACATTGTATATAACCAAGCTCTGTCACAACACGAATTGGAGACAAAAAGTAGCTACTGACCCTGCCTCCCCACCACTCCCTGCTAGGGAATAGTGCATGCTGGAAATGAGGGTGCAAAATGATGGAACTTCATAGGTTTATAAAGTTAAGTTAGTATTTTAGCACCCCGTTCTAATGCCTGTGTAATGTCTGTGCCCCTGGCCAAAGGGAAAACTGTGGCATATCTTTCCTTCCCGTTTCCTAAGTCCAGCTATACTATTGTGTTAGACCAGCCATTTTGCGGAAAGATTTTTCGGAAGGACTGAACACCTAACAGTTCCTGAATTGCAAAACTGCTGATGCTCAGCACCCCTCAGGATCATACCTTCCAATGTTGTGATTTTCAAGAGACAGTGCTGGTTATGTGCACCGCATGCTGTACCCTGGGCTTTACTCTGTTACCGTCGATGGACTCTGAATGTGGCCCCACAGAGACACAGGGCTAACTCAACGCGCTGGCATTTTGGTGCTCTGTGGGATATTTATTTTTGAAAAATATGATATTGTCAACAGCTCAGTGAAGTTGTCTCCAGACTGTTATGTCTCCTTCTCAAGTTTCTTTCATTTTTAAGAGCTTAACTTTTAGGTTTCTGGCTTGAGGAAAGAGCCTAAAATGGTTTAAGAAAAGGAAGCATAAACAAGGGAAAGAGCTGTGCACAGCACTGGAGAGAACAAATATTTCCTCACACTATATAATCAATGCAAATGTCTAGCAGTTAAAATGCTGTGATAAGGCACCACTGTGTTCAACCCTATTTTCATAATGAGATTAAGGAGGTTCCAAAGAAGTAAAAATCCTCAAGGGCAAAGAACATCTAAGAAAAGTCGACATCATATTTTTCAAACAGGGCATTTCATATACAGAAATTTGGTTCTACCAGAAGAGTTCAGTAAAACCATGGTGATACAGAGAGCAATAGCAGACATAAAGATGAGTAAAAACTTTAACTTGGATTAGGATTGATTGCATCAACCCCTTATCGAGTTTTTTGTTGTTGGGTTTTTTTTTGTTTGTTTGGTTTTTTTTTTTTTTTTTTTTTTTTTTAATTCATAGACAAAATTTTTTTCTAAACCAAGATTTGCATGGGAAAAGGTTCAAAGCAACTTTTCTAATAGAAATAAACCTAACAACAAATATTTAATTAGACATAAATGCTCTTCTAATCTTGAGCATCCAGGAATAGAGACACTAATTAGCTAACTTCTGCATTCAAGGTGTTAGGCTGCAGCATCAAGCAGCAACTCAAATAGAAGGTATTAGAGTTTCCACAATACCATCACTACTTTTTGGGCAAATTCAAAGAAGAATTCTGTATGTTACTCAACCTTTAGTATTAAGGACGAAAAAGAAAACATACCAGTTTAAGAAATGAGAACACAAATGCTGGGCCCAAGAAAGATTGTGCTGAAAACCTGTAAACAAAACACTAAGTGAGGGAGCTAAGAGAGAATAAACAATGTGAAAGGCACAGAATTTAGTGCCCCTCCCCTTTTTTTTTTTTTTTTTTTTTTTAAAGTTTTAACAGTAGCTGCTGGCTGTTAATAACTCCCTTGTACGGATGGGAAGTTAACTTTTTAATGATAAATAAGTGTCTGTTTTAAAAAAATTTTGTGTAGGAAGAACTTACATCTCCATGATGCCCTCTTGTCCACGTACTTTGAGGAACTAAACACAGCTTCTGCAACATACATGATATAATCCATGTCTCTTCCATTGACCAAAGCAATTGTAAAACCCTTTATCATAAGAATTTTAGCTGAAAGTTCTGTAATGCTAACCTAGTTCCTATACAGAATTTAACTGAAGAACAACCGTGACTCCAATGTAAGTTTTTGTGATTTAATACAATGGAATATTGTATTGCTGTTGCTTCTGAGGTTCTTATTTTATTATTCCATATAGCTGCAGTTTTTCATTACAGTAAGGCGTTCAAAATTGTTTAACTGATTTTATTATACTCAACGTAAACACACTTGTGGAGCTAGCTTCACATTTTTAACAAAATTCTCTAGTGACAGCTTGGAATACAATCCATGAAAAAAAAACTTTGGTTTGGGAATATTATTTCAGTGGATATGGGAAAGAAAAGTTGCAGTTCTACAAATTGTATGGCCACTACTGTTTTAGCATACCTCAGGCCTGGCCTGTGTCTGGCTTGCTGCTTCTGTCTTGACCTTCAGATTGCCAATTGCAGGTGTACAAGTCACTTCTACAATGCTGTCATGCACTTGCTACAGAAAAGAAAAACATCTATTTTCTGACAGGAGTTTACTACACCACACTTTCAAAACATTTATTTTTTAAAAGAAGTATGAGAACTGAAGAATCATGCTTAAAGACAAGATATAAATCCATTTTGAGAACTAAGAAGAGTTTTCTTAAGCTACTCAAATTCAGGTAGAATATTTCACCTCAAGAAAGGAGAAGTGAGACTTTTTCTTGCAGAATAACAATACTAAGACAAAGACTTTTCTGGATTGCTGAACAGTCAGAAAACACCACACAATCTCAAAAAAATATATAAGAAATAGGTAGAATTAAAATACCTATATTAGTCAGTGTGTTTAAAAACAATATTTGTAATAAATAGTTCAATCCAAACCTCTGGATCCAATTTATTCCAGAGCACTTGAAATTAAAGCTCTAAACCAGCATTTGAAAACAGTTATCATCCTGGATGATTGAGACCAAATCAAATTTAAGGTGTTCTAGTCTTTATTTTCACCTGGAAGTTTTATTTTTAGGCATCTGCTTTAAATACTCCGAACAGTTCTAGAGATTAAGTCCCCAATCCCTCTCCAGCCCAATTCCTTTAAAGAGAGAGGGAGCGAGCGAGCACACACACATGCATTGCCTTAGGTTAGGTTAAGTAACATTCTAAATAATTCTAATCCTGCAGTGTATTACAGAAGTTGCCTAAATTGAATATATTTTTGTAATTCCCTTCTCTGTCACTCACATTCAAGACTAAGACAATACAGGCTAAGCAGAGGCTTTAAATATGTACCTCTTATCCAGGGTATTCACCATCTTACCATTTAAAGCCCTTTTGGGGGTAGATATCGTGAAGTATGCTGGTATACCAAAAGCAACGTGACTTCAAAAAAATCGTAAGGTTATATGCATGCAAATCACTCACATGCAATTCTCATCCATAGCATATAAACCTCTGCAAACTACTTCCTGTAACATTTACTCCTGAAAAAACACTGTGCCAGAAACAGCATTAAAATATTCCCTTTTGTAGCAGCTTCACCCAAGAAAACATAAACACACACTTTTCTATTTGCAATCTTTATTTCATGAATAATTAAGAAGAAAACATGGCAACATTGGCAAATTGAAGGCATACATACTAAATACTCATACAGAATACATTATGGAGAAAGTAAATGCCCAGATCTTTAGTGGTCCTTGCAAACTAAAAGCATATTGGTCCTCCAAAAGGTTTAGCTTAAAATACACTTGCCGACCTTTTAAGTTCCGACGATTAACAGCTTGTGCCTTTCAAACCAGAAACGGTGAAATAAAATTTGATCATACTTCCAAATTTTCCTCAACCCTGTATTTCTCAGCTCTAACCAGAAGCAAACAAAATTTTTCGTCCTTACCTTTTAAATATATACACTCATACACCACCCTAAGTATTCAAGACGCAACCACTACTTGAAAAATGCTTAGTTTTGTTAAGAACCTGCAGATGTACATATATGTATACACACATGTATGTATATGTGTGTGTATATATATGTGCATATATACATTTATGCAAAACCTCTCTATATATGTAAGATGTCCATATATGTCAACGTGTGTGTGTAAACCATTTGAAAGGGTTCTGGAAGAAAGAAAAGTGCTTGTTGTCTAGATCAAGAATTACTAAACCCACACATGTACTGTTGGGTCAGTCTAACGGTTGTGTTTCAAGGGAGTATAAAACAATACAAATCAGAAAAGCTGGATGGATGAGAAGAGTTTTCAAGAATCACTGTTTTTTACATCATCTTTAAAGGCCACAGAAAATGAGCTTTAAAATAGCTATTTAGAAAATATTACTGGCTACAGTGTCATCTCAAACAAGGTTAGTCCTTATCCAATACAGTGCTGTGAAGTTAGACTAAGACCTCAATAAAATTCTGTTATTTCATGAAGTCCAAAGTTCATCACACTGTTCTGTCAATTCTGCCCCATGCCTGAACTGAAAGTACCCTCATCCAAGAGTTGGAGGGTACCAATTAATGCCCTTCTGACTTTGGTCTAGAGAGTTATCCAATATTAAATGGGATCACTGATGTATTTCATATACATGGAACAACTCTTGATCGTTACTGACCTAAAGTGATTTTACAGTTTGGAGGCTAATTAGTCTATGCTTTGTTTAGTAGTGTTATACTTTCTTCCCATTCGATAACACACAGAAAAAATATTTCAGTTCAAAAAACCCCCTTCAGATACGTATAAAAGTGCTACTTAAAAATAGAGAAATTGACCTTACAATACACGTAAAAACAAAAGTTTCTAACAAACTGAAATGTTGTAAGTTACAAGGATTAATTACTTGAGTATGTTATGTGTACTTGTGCCCTCCTTACTGAACTGATTTCCAAGTAATCATCCTAATTAAACATATGCAATAATTGGAAACCAGTAAAAGCCTCCAGAGAAATTTCAACAATGGAACAAAAAAAAAAAAAAAAAAGGAGCCTCCTTCTATTTGCTGAAACAGAGTTCAGAAACAAAAATTGACTATTCCATTATTGCAAATGCAGTCTACTGTCAAAACAGGTCAGTTCATGAACTGTGGAACCAGGACTGCCAATGGCTCCTCTGCAGCAGGAAATGTCCACTGGGCTTCCTAATTACCATATAAATACACTAGTTACATGCAATTAAAATAATACATATATCACTAGAATGAAAATGCACGTAATACATTGCTGTGCTGGGGGCAGAGTAGGTTTTAAGCCTTGACTTCCCCAAACAACTTGTTCATATTCTAGAACTCTATGCAAAATAGAAAAGCATTAGAAAAGTGCAACAAAACTAGCTTCATGACATTTTTCTTTCCATTTCCATAAATACAATCGCATAAAAATATTATTAAACAGAAGCATATTTCCCAGCGGAAAACAAACATGCCAAATTTCAGCTCTGAGTAAGTGATTTTGGCTAAACTGAAACCCCCTGAAAATAGGGGATTAAAATGAAACCAGCTTAATTGCATCAGGTTGCCATAACATTCTGCCTCAAGTTTACCCTACCATTTTGCATCCACAAGTCCTGCTGGAATTGATGGGAACTCCATGTGCAATTCTGTGGCAGACAGTGGCCTAAAGGTAGGGAAAATTCCAAGTAAAAGCTAATTTCAGTTGGAAGGAAGTCATCCGGTATTCATAGGTTTTACTGAAGTTTCAGTGTGTGGAAATAATTCTATTATGGCAGAGTTAATTAATTTAAGGAGGCTAGGACAGTGGCCTGGTCAAACGGAGTTCAAGGGTATTGCATGCCAAAAACTGGCAAGAGCAAATACATAAGAAAAGACGACACTCATATCAACACTCTAACAGAAATCAGAACTGTACAAACCTTGATCTTTTAAGTTATTTAGCATCATCAAAACCTTACTTGCTACATATTCCAGATGCTTAACATCTTGGCTTTGACAACTACAAAGTGTACTACAACACTGATACCAAAATCAGGGAATACAACAACAACAACAAAAAGAAACTTAGATGAATGAAGGATTGGGAATCTTCAGCAAATCAGATCATAATTTAAAATCCAGCCAGCCACTCTTCTTTGAAAGCAGAAACACTATTAGCGAAACCTTTCTAAATAGAGACAATTAAATACATTAAGAGATGTGTATGGACCCTTAACTCATCTAAATGGATGATAATTTGGGGGCAAGAACACCTGATTGGAGATCCTGGGGTGATGTTGGCTATACAGGAGATAAGGAAGTTGTGGGAGAGTTACACAGCTCTAATATGTTTTGTCAATCAACACAAGCTAACTTGGGAAAGCTCAGTGGCATGTCCAGCGCTTGTGGATGACAACTACACTTTAATACCTCTTCTCACCAAATAATTTCTCAAACTGGTTAATATTACTGAGTATTCATACACTAACACTAGCTTTAAGAAAGGAACTGCAGAAATAGAGCTTGGCAGAACATAAAAATAAACCAGAAATAAATATTTACCAAGTCAAGGGAAGGACCACAAAAAACTATACAGTTAAATCAATCTGTACATGAACACTACTATTTTAAAATCCTCTTTCTTAGGCTACCTCAGCAAGAGTCTTACTCACAATAGGCAAAAAATAGTGTAAAAGTGTACAACTGGATTCCTTCCCAGAAGAATTCTGCTCCTTAATAGCTCCTGTTTGATGCAGCCTGCAGTTAAGCTGTGATTGTATTAGTTGCAAGAGGCAAATAAGAAGTAAAGTCACTATGAGTCACATGAGCACAGTTTTAAAGGCTTAACTTTAGCCTATGCATAGCTTCACGCCAGACATTCAGAGGGGGCAGCTTTGGAAGATATTGTCACATATCACCTGAAAACCAGACAGCGTTCCCAAACAAGTTGCAAGTAGAACACAGAAAGTAAGAAAACCACCCAGAAGTTCTCCATATCTCCAACTTCCAAATAATCTTGTTTCAAATTTGCACCCTGGTCCAAAACTGTACAGAAATAGAGAGAACTCAGTACATGTAATTTTTAGTGATGGAACAGAATCCAAATGTCTGAAGTGTTGAACCAGGGAACTGAAAAAAAAGATAAAAACTTAACATGGAGATCATTAACAGAAATGAGATGTCAATGAGAATTTTTTGTCACAGCTACAAAATTCTTAAGGTAGATCCTCAGCAGTTTAAACCACTGTACTGCATTATTACAGCAAGAGCCACATTTATTTCTCCTTATGCATGTAAAACCAGAGTATGACTGCTGCAAGTGATATTAATATAAGTTTATACCAATACATTAAAACTGAGTTCATTTAGGTCTGGCAAATTAAGGGGCCCCTAAAGCATGATATCAGACTTTACAGAAAAACACAGTGAAAATATTTTACAAAATTGAAGATAAAAAAAATACCAGAAATGCTACATGTAACTTGAATATATTTTATGCAAAAGAGACAAAAAATTACTTTTAAGTCAGAATATGCTGTAATTAAATACTATCTTCTGGAGAACCTATCCACAAATAAAATTTTAAAAGGGAAAATTTCACTCACAGTTTTTCAGAGGTCTTTGTGACGGACAGATATTCACATCAGAGATAATAAATTAGTGTTTCTATTTAAATATAGAAGACAACCAAATCAAACTGGATCAAACAAAACCAGCCGAAAACCAAATCAAGTGTAATCCATTCTGAAGTCACATCAGTTCTGTTGTTAGATACTCCATGTCAAAACCTCTCTGACATAATTTTCCTGAATAACAAAAATTAAATTTTCCCTCCCATCCCTTCACTTTTGCTAAAGAAAACCTCACAACTGTTCTTTCAGTTCATTGCTAATGATCTCGCATCAGGATGACAACTAGCCAAACTGAGCACTTATCTGGCTCTGAACTGACCTGTCTAACCTATGGAAGTGTTTCAGTAAATAGGATCCAGAGGATGATGTAGCTGTATCTGCATTAGTATGTTTGACAGCTCCATTTTGTTGCCCACCCCACTACTACAGCTGGCAATAAGTAACCCTGATATACTACAGCACAGGCATTTGCAAGGCACATATTAAAATGCAGTAATATAAATTGATGATAAAATATTTTCCTTTTTTTAGTACATTCACAAATACTTTCTGGATTAAAAAGAAAAGTAACTCAGCATAAACTTGCACTTCATATGTACAAAAAAACCCAGGCTGTTTCAGGATTAACTATGAGTAGGAACCAAACAGAACAGTATCATTCATGTCCAGAAGAGCTACAGCTATTCTTCCTCTTGAAAAATTAAATGTGGTTTGAACATTCAGAAAAAACATGCTGTAGAGTGCAGCAGGGCATTATGTTTGGTTTAGATCTTCCATTGCTTTATTACTTCCAGCTGTGGAGCATCTTATATGTAAATGCTCAGATATATCATTATATATAAAAAAAAAAATCTTCATGATGCACAATATTCCTTTACAGATATGAACACAGCAGAGGTTTATCAGGCAGATCACGCCAAGAAGTTTGCAGAGCTCTGAAGTTCAAAACAAGATCATTTTTATAATTACTAATAACTTTTCCTTCTCCCTCTATGAAGACAAGCAGCTCATCTTTTTAACAGAAAGCATCTCGAAAATGGGATTTCCTCTTTTTCGAATGGTTATATCATTAGTGTTATTTTAGTTAAGGACTAATACAACATTCCCAGTAAACGAGGTTGACCAATGGACAGAAAAAAAAATCAGCTTAAACTTCTTAAAGTTCAAATTACTGTACCAAAACAGGTCATGAGTGAATTTAGACCAACAAATACTATTCTTTTCATTAGAAAAGTATTTTCTTAAAATCTAAGGCAATAAGACAATCATAGGTAAGGGTGTCTATTCAGAGGATGACTAGGTTATTTTAAGCAGAAATTGGAAAAACCTGGAATTTAGTAGGAGATGGAATGTGAGACAGCAATAATATGTATTTCCACTACGACTATTATTGAAATTTGTTTGAAGAAATTAAGGAAACAAAAATTTCTGAAGGAATATACAAGAGAGGAAATTGTATTTCAGATTTTTATTAAAATCTGTTAAGGAAGATTTTTCACTTGAAACCTCTCTTGCAACAACTGTCTTTAGATCACGTTGGCTCTTCAAATGCACCAGTTAATAATCTGAGGGTATCTAGCTACTTTCAGGATTATAAAGAACTGTAAGAATGTGTGAGACACTGCTGCTCTGAAAACTTCTCCAAAGGCTCTCAGCATGGATTAAGTAGTTATTTTGCAAAATTTTGTAATTCTCATAGGCACATATCAATGTAAGAGTATATTTTTATACAATGCTAGCTGCTACAGGTATGCTGAATTATTACTCTTCAACATGGGCTATGTTTTCCAGATGATAGGTTTTTGGATTTGGCAATAATTTTGAGTTAAATCTGTGCTTTTATACCATGATGAAGTTTCACAGATGCCAAGCACGGTTGCATTCACTGGGTTAACATTTATGACATTCAAACTGTCCTTAACAGTCATAAGAGCACCATAGGAATGGCAGATTCATTTTCTTTATAACAGGGTTACTGTGTTCAAAGAGCATGTGCTTATAAATAGCAGTTGTTACAGAACTCACTTCTAAGTAGACTTCTGCTTAATATTAATGTGAGATGTTCAACTGTGGCTTAACTGCTGATAAGTATTCAGAAAAAAAAGAGGCAGAAGCAATGACAGAGTGAAGTCTTCCCTTGATGTGACAAACAAGATTACAACAAACAGCTTATGACAAATGGATATATGAGATTGTTCTGAGCCATTAACATTCTGCACAAGTGCCAGGATGTATCAATTCAATGATCGCTAAGGCACTTACTTGAACTCTTTTGACCAAGAGCTGTTACAAGAATTCAGGTACATTTTAGGACAATAGAAGCTGAGCAGACTAAAGTTTCTCAATTCCTTCCTTGTGACAGTGAGTCATTTCCACGCAATATTCGAGACTACTGGGTGTATACACATTACATCAGTTCCTCCACAGTTCTTGTCAGAGAACGCCTCACCTTCTGTCAGTCAGATGAGGATGTGCAAGATCAATGAAAAACACACAGAAAACATGGCAAAGCTGGATTTTGAGACAAACTACTACATTATTACATCGTATTGAAAATATCTTCTCTGCAGAGGAAATGCTATCCCAGTTCCAAAATTCTACCACAGAAATCCATGATGTATGCTTGTATTGCTGTAAAGCCTGGGGAAGCTGTATGTGCTATACAGGCAAAGAAGGAAGAGAGGAAAGAACAAGCCAAACAGGGGTTGATTATTGATTCATTTCTGTTATAATGGAAGCACAGGGAGTTCGGACAGATTCCTTGAAGTATAGCATACCCTGAAAACCAGGAGCTGTATGTGCTAGTCTTTACAATCTGTAAGATAAAGTTGGAAGCCACATCACTGTGACAGAGGTAGGCTGATAATGAAGCTTTAAAATGAAGAGTTCTTCTGTGCCAAATTTTTCGAGGTATTGAGAGCACTTTTCCACTCAATTTGTCATTATGGAATAAAAGCTTGTTTTCCTAGAATATTGTGCACATTTTAAAGATGGGAAAATAGCTGTAAAGGCAGTAACTAAATTGCCATTAAGAACTCTAGTATATCAGGGTGCTGTATGCTGTGAGTAGAATATTCAGACTCTGTGGTATCAGGGTGCTACAGAAAGTTCAGTAATATGATGCCATGTTATCCTTTTCCTTCTTAAAGCTTTATCTGTACATTCAGTCTCCTATATGCTAGAGGATCCATTCATCACACACTCATAGAAAAGAAAGCTTCAGGAAGCCTGGCTGGAAATGGCAGCACATTAGTCCAGGCTCTTTAGGCTACATAATTAATCTGAATAGCTTAATGACTTGTTTTATTCCAAGCACTGTGTCAACAAGTTCTTGCTTTTAAACAGTTGTTTCCAGGCTTAGTAGCTGAAGCAATCTGAGGCGATCCAGGATAGTGTCACTGAAGTTTGAGGGGACTCAAATGTTGCCAGTTTTCAGTGAAATGGGGATTAGCATTTCAGCAAGATTTCCATCTGGTAGCTCATGTTGGTTCTATCCCAGGATTCTGCTGAATTATTATGATTTCAGGTTTCAAAGTATTTGTAAATTGCTGTAACATACAGCATGACATTCTGCCAGTCTGGACGCTCAGTTCGCACCATTTCATTGATGTCCTGTCACAGAAAACAGATCGGGCAAAATCAGGAATGATAACCTTGTGAGTAATGTGGTAGTGTTTTTCCAAATTCTGGGGAGTGGTAAACCTATAAAGCTTCCACAGTTTAAAGCACTGACGAAGAAAGCTCTTGATTCCATATATCTTTGTATTACTTACAAAACGTAAACAGCTATGAATAGCATATCTGTAGACGGTTATTTTGTTGACTTAAGATCAAGATGTCTAATGCTGTGCATGTTTGAGTTGTCCCTCACTTAATACGATTAGTAAAGTAGTCAAGACTTCAGTGTTCACATACCCCTATACCACCGTTGCAAGTCAATGCAATCTACCTAGGAACTGAGTCACAGAATCAAAGCCCAGATGTTAATTGAAGCTGAAGTTCAACATTCATATCAGGGTAAGAGTCAAGCATCAATAAATAACTGAATCTCATTTTACAGGAGACTCCTGAAGTTTAGAGTAGTTTATACGTATTTTTGAGTAAACAGGCAAGGAAGAGGGAAGTTTACTTTACTACCAAATTTGGGTATATCCAAGAAGCCAAAGTGATCAGTTCATGTCTAACTGATAGGCAGATTCACATGTGTTTCATAGTAACAGTATACCAGATTGTCAGTGAATAAGCAGGGTAAACAAAGCCTGACCTACCCTTTTCAGCACATGTACAGAGGAGAACAGAATGATGTAGTTTAATATTTTTTGTTTACTGTAAGGGTCTATTCTGTAAGCCTTGGGTCCAGGAGCCTCCAGAACTCAAAAAAGAGAAAGCAATTTTTTTTTCATTTTCCACATGGAAGTAGGTGAACACCTTCTTATTCAGGGATCAAATAAGTTCTCCTTACATTACCACTCCTATTTACATAGGGTAGTTTTCTCACCCTTTTTCACCCTCCACCTATGGATGTGGACAAGGTAACATGGACAAGGATAAAAATCCACAAATATATACATGGTACACAATGTGTACATAGGTATGTAAATAGATAGTAAATCTTCAAGATGGATACAGTTTGCCTTTAGAAGATTTAATTCCATTTAATTTGCCTTTTTAGAGTATCTATTTAGAGTATTACATAAAGAAAGGACAGACAGGAACTATTTAGACTAAAGCTGAATTACCTAAGAATTACTGCAGTTATTCTCCACAATCTAGTTCTTACATCAGCACTTAGTAAGAAAATTCCATGTTTCAAATCACTGACAGTCAAAGTATGAAATCCCAACAGTTGCACTTCCATTGTCAGCAAATACAATGCTGGAGAGTAAAAGTGCTGATAAGGATCAAGAAAAGTGTTACTTTCAAAAATATCTGACTTTGTTGTATTATTAGTTGCTAACTATGCCAACTTTGTTAGAATTTAGGTTACAAATGTATCACTGAAGTATCATTTCTGATACTGGCAATTTTAAGTGAATTTTTCTGATTATTCACATGGGCTCAGGATACTCCCAATTCCATACCTTCAGAAACCTTCCTTTTCTAATAAATACTATACTATTGAAAACTAAATCTTTTAAGCTAGAATTTGTATAAGAAAGCTTATTATAAACAATTGAAACCCCCCCAATTATTTATGATTATGACAAATTAAGTCTAAACGTTAGTAAATTTTGACTCTCACATTACACTGAACAAAAGAACAAATTACATCACTTGATTTGTACCTCCAGAATTCCAAAAAACCCAAATAATTTGAAAGTAAGTCAGAGACAGGAAAGAACTAATGAATTCTTAAAGATTGTATTACATAACTATTTCTCAAATTATTCTCAAATAAATCCATTGCCTTTATTATTATTTCTTATGGTATTGAAGGATGCGTTTCGGTGAATGTTTCTTTTATAGCTTAAGCGTTTATCTGCTATAGGCTATCATGCTGTTGCCTTTGTTACAGCTGCTGTTCTACAGGTCTGTATCTCAGTCACTATTTAATGCAAAAAACATGTAAGCTTAAGCTGTTGACCACAGTGGGTTTATTAAACAAAGCCACTGAGGTAGGGAGTATCTTTTATATTTTTTAGTCAAGTATGACACAGGGGCAATAACCTCTAGCTGAGCATATCTGCTGCTATTTTTAAGTAAAAAGAATCAAAATATTTCCAAAGTACAAAATAGAATAATTTAAATTTTTATAAATGGGTCATAATTTATTCAGCATACACATAAAACTTACCAGAGTAGATTTAATGCCAACACTTTCAGCTGCCTGAAAAGCCAAAGTGAAATTTCTTCTCTGCATGAGATATAAAAACACATTAGAAACTAAGGAAATACTACTTCAAACATAAAAGTGGTACTAAGTACGTTCACAGTGATGCTGCTGTTTTTGCATAAAATGGAGTCTATAACTTCACTATAATAATTTAAAAAGAACCATAGAAATGAGCATGTCCTAATATAATCCAAGAAAATTTTGAAAAAATCCAAGAAAATATTGAAAATTTTTATTCATTCCTCAATTCAGAAGATAATGCTGAGAAATCATTGTCACTGAAGAATGACTGAGTTATAAAATGCTAAAGAACAGATTATTCTTTGAAAAGCATAATGAAAAAATCATTACATGTGTTAATGAAATAGTATTATATTTATTTAGGATGTATCAGCATTAATAATACAGCTCCAGATAACACACAAGTATTAACTGTAGCACACCAGAATACATACAGACCACTCTGCAGTCTTGACATCTTCTAGTTTACCTCTATTTGATACTTATCACTTGAGAGGAGTCACTTATCAGTGTAAGAAACTAGGATGAAACATCCTTGTGATATTGAAAGAGATAAACAGAATATATCAAGATACAAATTTGATGGATTTAAAATCTTTAAGCTTAAACACTTCTTGCTTCCAAAAACCAAACTGAATATACATCCCAGCTGTTTGGGTTAAATAAAATGCCCCAGACATAATTTTATGAACTTCTGTTATTTTGTTTTCCTTATATCTGTTCCAAAGTTCCGCTTAATCCAATTATCTCATAATATTAAAAGGTTATAATAAGAATAGCAGCAAGGTAGTTTGAAGTGTTTAATTACGATTCCTAGTAATACTGGCTTTTTTAGAACCCAAATTTTTTCATTCTTCTTTTTTAACTCATATTATTTATATAGTCTTGCAGTCCCAGGAATAGGATTTTGAATGTCTTACCTTGTCCTGGCTGTTTAGTTCTTGATAGGGAATATGGGCTGGGAGGTAAGTATGGAGGACTGCACAGAAAGCTAAGCCATCATTCCAGCTACTGCTGAAGTTTGTTATGTCGATATTCTTTAAAGGAAAAAAATATAAACAATATTAAAATCATAATCTAACAAGTATTGGTTCTACCAATCCACCAATACTTGTGTGTGGTTTTGTGATTTTTTTTTTTTGTTTGTTTGGTTTTTTTAACACCTTTGAAGAAACCAGCAGAGAAAGTGAACAGCCTAATACTAAAGTTCTGTGGTAAGAAACCAAAAAGTGCTACTACTGAGGACAATAAAAAAATTTAGTGATAAGAAAATCAGTTATCTTAATTCCACGTAATATTAATTCCACACCCCCCACCTCACCCCTCACCCCCCCCCCAAAAAAAGTGCAAGATGTGTTTTAAAAGGTGATAAATGTTGTGCTAGACAGGGTAAGAGCATACACACCAAGACAGAAAAGCAAACAAGTTAGACATGTAAGCCCAAATCCCCAAAACAGAAAACATGTTAATATCTCTGTTAATGTAAGGTTTTACTTTTCTGCTTCTACTGCATCAATATCCAGACAAAATTTTTAACTTATGAGGACAAATATTTTCTCTTCTAAACAAACCGTTTCTACACAGAAACTTACATGAACAAGATCACAAACAAAAATTAAGTTTAATTTGGAAATAAAGATGTTCCAACAGATTTGACACTGGCAGTGGCAGGGAATCATTATCTTTGGGGGTGAAACTGAAAACTGCAGTCTTGCACTCTTGATCTTTTAGTTCCAGTAGGAAACCCAGTGGCACTGGTAAATGCATCTCCTGAGATTATTGTAAAAAAAGTCATCCCAGTCCAAAGGAGTTATGAACAAGATACTTCGGTGACCTTTTAAAATACTATATACTTGGCTGTTGACAGTCAAACAATGGTAAAGAGGCTAAGTGGATAGCAGTCAGTTTAAACTTTAATTCAGAAACCACCAATAACAAGTAGTCACAGTTTATCTTTTAGACCTTTAAGGAGAAATATAAATATGCTTTAATATCTAACTCACTTAACTGGGCTTAAGCAGAAGCTAGCCAGCTCCCCTACTTAGTTTTGAAAATTTTAATGTAGCAGGAACTTGAACCTCCAGTCACAGAATTGCAGAAACACAATCACACAATTCAACCTTCCACCTGACAGCAATTTAATAATCATCACCTGTCTTTGACAAGACACTAAAACTTGTCATTCCTAATGCAGAAAATGCCACCCAGAATCAGTGTTACTGGGCCACGCAGGCTGAGAATGAAGGCAGTTGTATTTCTCGTCCAATGATTTGGGCTACAAGTGGAAAACAACTGCAATCCCCTCCAACAGAGCTAAAAAACAAAACCAAAGGCAATTTCTAGAAGAATGTGAGGGAAATCTCTACTTCCTGCTCAGCTTTAGCACTTTTTATACAAAGTCCACCAAATGCAGGTTCAAACTCTGGTGACGTAAGCGTACGTGCTCAGGCTCACAATGCCCAAGGCAGTGGTCTGAGCCTCGCCTGCTGTCCTGCTGCCTGCTTGCAAACGGAAATGTCATTGTTGGAGACCCCCAGTCTGTGGGAACATGTTCTTCACACAGCTTCCTCAAGCCACAGGGGTGGGAAAATTTAAAAGCAAAAGGAAAAAAAAAAAAAAAATTAAGCTCTCCCCCTCCTTTCTCCTCAAGAGAGACAGGAAATTGGATTTAAATTAATGCTTGGTTAAAACTTTTTCAACGTTACTTAACTTAGGCAAACAAATGCAACACACAGTACAAGGCTTTAAGGAAAAAAAGGGAAAAAAAATACCAGAGTGTTAAAGTCAACAAATTACTACTTGTGTCTGTTTACAAAGTTACTTTTTGAAAAGTTCTTTCCCCCTACCCTGTAACCAGTAATTCCTTGGGTCACATCTGTATCAATAAGATGGCTAAAGTTAGGGAGAGGGGTTTCTTCTTGTCAGAGTCATCTGTGGCAAGCTAGTTCTAAAAATCAAATATGAATGATCATATTTCCTTTGCTATACAACCTACTGAGGGAGAAAAACTCAGTCCTGGTTTTCACCCCTTCACTGAAATATTCTCCCTCCTTCCCCAGGATGGCCAAGTGGTGTGGGAAGGGGAGGAGAAAGATGTGCATTGGCATTGTCCCTGTTCAGTTAAACACAGACCTGATCAGACATACATGAATGCAACAAGCGAAACTATGAAAAAAAAAAATTGTATTAGTTAAAGCTACTGAAGAGCATTAGCAACTTTTTAAGTCTCAGGACTACAAGGATAGATATGACATTCCTTATTAAAGTAAGGAGGAATGCTGAAGCATTGCTGAATCTGATTAACAGTTTCTAACACACCAGTTTCCAATCTAGTGACTTAATGCTGTATATAGTTTCAACAAGTACCTGTTGAATTGCTATTATTGCAGAATATACTCTATTTATCATAGACCAGGAGTCCATTAAACCAGTCACCAGTCACTGTACAAATAAAATAAAATCTGATAGTACCTTGTATCACAGAGCTTACAATGTCTTTTTTCTCTCCCAGGTTGCCTCACACATTTAGGAAGAAGCAAAGCAATGTTTATCTGAAAATTTAAGAGTTTGAGCCTAAACACCAGCATCACTGAAGCACAGATGAGATCTTACTGCTGAAAGGGGGATGGAAAGGTACACAGCCTTCAAAGTGAGAACAGTAGCTTATATTGGAAGCGAGGGAGCACAAAGAACAGAGATGCAAACATTGCAATACCATTAAAGTAATGAGCTGAAATAGTGATCTTTGCAACAGTCAGGATGGACAACAACAGGCAAGCATGCATTCCTCAAAATTAGAAAATAGGATGCTGCAGTGATGTGTATGAGATCATCAGAACCTACACCTGAGGTTTGATCCTCATCCTTCATCCTGTGGATGAAGAAAGCAGACTTATGCTCAGGATATATGAAAAAAGAAATTGCAAGGTAACAAAACAGTCTGGATGCACTAGAAAATAGACCTATAGAGCAACTAGGGCTTAAGACAGGACTCTTCACATGATTTCAATAACAGAAGGAGTGCTCACGTCCAAAATCTAGAGAGGTTTTCATAGTTTTCTAAGTATATTCCCTCACCCCAACATGTAAGCAAGAAAAACAGGGTAAAGTTGTGCTGAAAATGGTAAATGAAATTAAAACAAGAGAAAGTAATCTTTCTCTTAAACATTATAGTTGTATAAACTAAAAATTTCACTTTAAATATTAGTAGCATCCATAGAATTTTGAATATAAACACTGGAAAAAAGGGCCAATTAAAGAAGTTCACATACAAATTTGGTTGGTTCTCAAAAAGAACCTGGAATATCCTATTTTTCTAAATCTTCCTGTAGGGTCCAACTTTTATTATTAAGACAACAAGCAGAAAACAAACCCATCATGCAAGAATCTTAATGTATCCAGAGAAGCTGAATTAAATACAACGGAAGGAAACAATTAAAAGGGACCGGTTTCTGTTTCCAATTGCTCTGAGCATTATGAATTATTATTACCTCTCAGACTAAAAAAGTATAATATTGGTCAGACACTAAAAAACAAATCTAGAAACTAGACAGATTGTAATTTAAACTGAAAATTTAATTTTTTATGTAGGGCTTTGAGCGCATAACTGGCACATTTAAAAACAGCGCAATTTTATTTCCCAAATGCTTTTAACTACTTGTGGTTTCTTGAAAAAGCTTGGTCAGTATAATGAAATCAATCTTGCATTAAGCTCTTATTTCTCAAAGAATTGACGGTAAACAGAACATCAGCCTAAAATCTCTGACATAATTTCTTTTTTTGTTACTGCTTTTATTAAGTAATTGGCTCTATTAAGAGAATACTGTTGGAATCTAATCCAGACTTTTTCTTCAAGCCATTTCAGACCACAAAGTATCAAAGCAATTGAAGGACATACTTTCAGATAAATTGTCAAATGAGGAATAAGCCTTTCTAGAGATAGGTGAACTAAAAGAAGATTTATCAGTCTTTGTCTATTAATGTTTAATACTTAGGATAGGAGCGAAGTCACCTCTAGTATTTGGGATAGATTATTTTTTTTTTTTTTTTAAAAAAGGCAATTCTAACAAAAGGAGTTAAGTAACAGGCTGTTGTCATCAAAAGATCTGTGGAAGACACTTTTCAACCAGGAACAAAAAACAGTTAAAACTTTGTAAGAATTTTCTAGAGACAGAGTATAAGAATAAATATTTTACATAACCAAACAGACCAAATATTCTATAGTCCATCCTACAGCCATGATAAAGAGGGGAAAAAATGATGGTAGGGGAACACCCTGGTGGATTCATAACTAAAAACCATTTCAAGTATGACTCAAGCTCTTCTTAAACTGCAAAGTGCAAAGTAGGAGTAGCCACCACAAAACGAGTATTCCCTTGCGTTCACATAGAAAAAAAAAAGAGTAAGAAGAATCTTTCTGAAACAAGGTTGAAATGTAATAGCAACAAAATGATCCATCAGCTTAGGCTGAAATGCAGTAGTGGATAAACACTAAGTGAACTGGATTTGAACATGAATCAGAAGTGCATCCTTGCAGTAAAGAAGGCAACCTGTATCCTGAGCTGCAGCAGTAAGAGTACAGCCAGCAGCTCGATGGACGGGATTCTTACACTCCTCTGGGCCCTTGTCAGTCTGCACCTGGTATACTGTATAGAGCTTTAGTCCTCCCAGTTCAAGAGAGTCACTGAAGAATGAAAAAGGGTCCAGCAGAGAGTTACCAAGATGATTAGATGGTTAGAGAATTTGACAGATGAAGAACGGTTGAAGGAATTTGGTCTATTTAGCCTAAAGAATATTCAGGAGAGATGTAAACAGTCTTCCAATGCCTAAAAGGCAGTTAGAGAGGATGGAGGTACTCTCTTCACAAGAGCACATGGTGACAGGACAAGCCGTAACAGGCATGATTTCTTTCGAGGGAAATTCTGTTTGGATAAGAAAAGTCTTCACCATGAAACAATTAAGCATTGAAGTAAGTTGACCAGAGAAGTAGAAAAATCTCCCTCACTAGAAACATTCTAGACTGTTTAACAGAGCTCTG